TTTTTTTCCCTATTCAACAATATACACTTTTGTACTGTTTGATAAAAATATTTACAATAAATCCTATTCCTTTGAAATTAAAATATATGACAGATGTTGGCCCTTGGTGAAGGGGTGAGGATTGAAGCTATGGCGAGGGATTGCTCATCTCTCACAAAGATGGCAAAGTCACTTTAGCAGTTGGAAATCTAGACAACATTTCTAAAATTGAGACAAAAATACTTATTTCAGGTAAAGAAGCATTTATCAGTCAATCATGAATTCACCCGCTGAGCACTGAGCTTGCTCTGCTTAGAAATGTAGTTCCACATCTCTAGATAGTCACTGTCTTCTTGTCTTGAAATGCTTCTATGAAAGCACCCAGTGTTCTTTCTTCACATGTCTGTTCTAAGCACTTCTCTGCCGTGAGAAAGCAGTTTACATGGCTCAGAGTCAGAGCTGCGGCAGAGTGGCCATTACGCAGCTTTCCAGCTGTGAGAACTTAGGCAGGTAATGTAATTCCCTAAGCCTGTTTCATGATTGAGGAAATGGGGTAATACTAATAATTCCTTCATAGGATTGTTGTGAAGATTAAATGAGATGATATAAGGAAAGCATTAGCACACAGTAGGGATGCTTTATTGTGAAATCAAAGGCAAAATCCTTTCAGAGGTCTTGCTTAATTCAGAAAATATTTATTTGAGGATTTGAGACTAAGATTATTTCCACTTACGTCTTTACTTCCTATGAGACAGGTTACCAACTGGGTGATGTGAGCCATAAAACATATATGTTTAAAACCAAGAAATAATTAATTAACATTATCAACTTATGCTCCCAGACTGATAAAAGTAAAGAGACATGTCCTAAGACTACACCCACAGGCCCTAAAATACAACCCATTGTCTCATATGTTTGACCTCTCATGATACAGATAAAACCATATTTTAAATTACAGATAACTTTACTTGCCTTTTAGACTTTAGGAGATTATTTGAGGTGTGCTAAGATGGCTCAAGTTTTCTTTTTTCAAACACAAGCAAAGTTTATTTATAAAGTCACAGAGTTAAAAGAAGGGAGCCATGAAGAAGTGAGCCAGCTAGGCTACCTTGACTCAGGAAGCAAGTTACAGAGGTAAAAGAAGGGCTCTTGGAGCTTAGGAGAAAGATAGCAAAGGTATGCACCTTGAGGGAAGAAAAGGGGAAGGAAAGGCACAGACTCTTCTCTGGTGAGAGATCTCAGAACAGTGGTTGCCTCAGGGGAAGTATTAGCAGGAACAGGCGTGAGGGATCTTCCTAGGATGAAGAGAATTTCTATATGTTGATTTGGGGGATAGATAGGCCCCTGGGTGGATACATGTGTCAGAATATACACTTAAGATATGCTAATTTTATTCCATGTAAATCATATCTATCTCAATAGGAACGTTGTTAGCATAAACATGTCAGAGATCAAGGCAAAAAAAATAATATTGAGAAGATTTATTCCTTTTCTCTGGGGTAAAGAAAGCATCTGTAGGAAGTTGCCAAGAATCTATTGACCCTACCGCAATGTTCAAAGTAAGACTCATAAATAACTGTGCTTATTGACGCTGGTAGAGGTGAAAAGCCCCTGGAAAAGGGAAGGTTGACCTTTGACCTGTCCCTGCAGCCTGGGCTCATCCACAGGCAGATGGGCAGCTGCTCCCACGGAAGGAAGCCCTCTGAACTCAGGATGAGCTTCTGAGACCCCTCTTCACCAGTCTGGACCTTACTTTCTTTTTCTCTACACTTTTCTGAACTACTCAGTTGACATAGGATTTCAACAGCATTCTTTCATCTTTCATGCTGCAGGAGAGCAATTTGTTATTGAGTGCACACTTCCTTTGTAAGGCGATACATTTTCCCCTGGGCCTTAGTCCCTGTTTCTAAAGAGGAGTTTGAGAGCCTCTCCCAGGAAGGCTGAGATGCGCACAACTGCCAGGAAGAGAAGAGGGGAGAATGCGGGAACTGGAACCAGACTTTCCCTCAAAGGACTGAAAAGTCTTTTTTCTTCTGTAATATATACCGTTTCTGTTCGGAAAGTTTTTTAGCCTGTCCTGCTGTGAGGACCTTGTCTCTACTAAACTATAAGCCCAAGTCATTCCATCTATAATAATAAAAGCATAATATGCTAATTAGACCAGACGTCCTTCCAGAGGACCTTCCGGACGAAGCCGGGGCTGTAAGGGAAGCCTGGGTCCTGGGTGCCAGAGGGAAGCCAGTGCCTGCAGCCGGGGGAAGGAAGGCCTACTCTTGTGTGAATTTCGTGCATCGGGCCTCTAGTACAAAATAAAAACCCAGAACAGTGGAGCATTTACAACATGTTTATGTCTCTGAGGAAATATTTCTTTAAAAAATTATTACTTCAGTCAAACTTATTTAGGGTAGTTATCTGGTCCATTATGTCAAATTTTGGAGATTATGAGTCCTTTAAATAATTATTTCCCCCCTAAGATTAGATTTAAAAAAAAATGCTGTATCCAAAAATCTGATATTGGAAGTTGTTTCTTCCATTTAAACCATTAATGTGCACTTGAATTAAATATTATTTGTTAGTTAGGAAGTGAAAACTTTAGAGATGCCTAGTTTAGTTCCTTTCTCATCTTTGCCTAGTAAATCATTAATCATATCTCTTTTATTTTATTGATTTTAGAGAGAGGACAAGAGAGAGAGAAACATTGATTTGTTGTTGTACTTATTTATGCATTAATTGGTTGATTCTTGTATGTGTCCTGACTGGGAATTGAACCAGAAAGCTTGGCATAGTGGGAGGATGCTCTAACCAACTGAGCTACCTGGCCAGGCCAATACTCTATCTCTATCTATCTATCTATCTATCTATCTATCTATCATCATCTATCTATTATCTACCTACCTACCTACCTACCTATCTAATCTACCTATCTAATCTACCTATCCTCTATCTATTTTCTGTAGGGGAACTCATTTATTTCATGCCGGGGTCCCCGTGGGTGACAGGTTCACCATGGGTACTGATGATGATGCTAAGTGGCAGCAGTAACAGTGTGTTGGAAAGGCCGCGGGTTGCTGGTGAAATGGTCCAGACAGGACGACCCTAAGAAGGTCGGCGGGTGGCCATGCCAGAGCCCGGAGCATGACGCTGGGATACGGCCCTTGGTCCCACACGGAAGACTGTCCACCGTGGGCGCTGCAGAAGCCAGTGGGGTCACAGCGCCCCGTGCCGTCTCCAGCAGCGTGCTCTCCATAGCACCTGCTGTCCCTCCACAGGTAGGGCTGGCGCAGCCCCGGGGACAGGCAGGCAGGGTGAGTCCGCGGGTGTGCAGCGTGGTCCACGGTGTGGGGGCCGTGCCTCCACGATGGTGCTTCAGGGGAGCCTGGTAAACATGGGCTGTGAAACAGGGGGAGGAGGGGCGTTGGCTGTCCCGCCCATAATGGTAATTTTCTAGCTCACACACTCCCTTGGCAGTGGAAGACAGCCTTTCCATTTCCACCTGTGTTTTGGTCAAACCCTCTAAGGAAGCCCGCGGCTCCTGGCACAGCACCTCCAGTTCCCTTCTGTACTCCGAGGCCTCGCTCTGCATTTTCATCGCGAGCCGGCTGCCCCTCTCTGACTCTCTCTTGTCTTTACTCAGTAAACGGATTTCGTGCTGCCATGTTATTTGCAGGAGCAAAGCCTGCATCACGGATGTGGAGGATGGGATTGGTGGTTGCCACAGGCAGGGGGTGGGGAGTGGGGTAAATGGATGATGGGGGCCATAAGGTAAACAATTAAAAAAAAAAGCTCTAAGGAGAAAAGTGCTGATTCTCTTTTTATTTTATCCCCTGTTCCACTTTTAGCCTAAATTCCAACTTTAGGCTGGGGTAGAGAATTTAGTGTCCAACCCTGCAAGTAAAAAGATAAACAGAATCTAAAATATCTCCAATTACTTGTACACAGAAGGGGTCTTTTTTTTTAACAAGGTTTAAATTTTTTTTTTCTGTCTCCAGATAGACTAGAGCATAAACATTTCTTTGTAAAGAATCTAGGAAGGCTGAGAGGATGGGTAGAAAATGACATCTGGATAA